TGCAACTTGCATATCTCAAGAACAGCTGATCGGATCGTCTTCAGTCTTGGTGGGTGTATTGCTGATGACCCACAGGAGTGCTGTGTCAAGTGTGAAGCCAATCAGATGAGCGGTTCTTGAGAACTGCATAAGTATCTTAAAGCAGCACTAATCAGTATCTTTATTTTAACAATGGATCGACTTACTATGTGCAACATGAAGAATGTTGCTCATAATGAGGAATCTACAGGGAATAATCACCTGACGAGTTCCCCACAGCTCTATGAAGCTTTTAGCGTTGTTTTGGTTTTACAGCACATTTACTGTTTTGGTTGATTCTCACTGTTCCTCAACATCAGCATCAATTCCAGCAGCAGGCAGCAGGCAGCTGTTTTCATCAAATCTCTGTACACTACCTGCCGAGCACCAGCTCAAACACAGTTAGAGACTAGCTGATGAGCAAAGTGAAGCATTTTGCAGCTAAAGAGTCAGATATTTTCCTCAGGAGTTGGTTGAGAGACAGAGCGAAGACAACCAACACTGCATTGGGGTGATCATGTTGCTCTATGTCTGCTGTGAAAATAGGATAAAGACCTTTTATAAGGTCCTTGATAAGATGTATGTTTTGTTTACAGCTTGTTGAGGTAAAAATCAGTTAATTCAGGTTTAAAATTAGATTTGTTTTTAGGTAAATAAAATGTAGATTTCGATCATTTTTACACTATTAGTACTTACTGTAATTTTAGGAAACAAGTTTTGGTCACAATGTTGTAACACTTCAAAGTAAGAGCCACAAGTTTAACATTGACTATTCATGAAAGGGTCAGGGTTTTTACACTAGACCATCTGCAGACATGTAGGTGAGATTTAACACAGACACATGGTGAACTTACAGGGGGCGTGGGAACATCCTTTGCTATATACATACATTTGTCATTTCAGGAAGAGCCACGAAGTGTATGCTAAAACTCCAGTGTATGAATGTGTGTGAATGTTAGTTTCTGTTTGAGCATTTAAGCTCAGTGTGTGAATGGTGAATGCAATGTAGTGTAAAAGCGCTTTGAGTGGTCAAAAAGACTAGAAAGGTGCTATATAAATACAGAGCATTGTGTTTTGTACTTGAGAGTATTTAAGGAGTAAGATGCTGCGTGTCGGGAGAGAATCTTGTTGACTCTCCGGACGTCCGCATATCTTCACATCTTTTACTTCATACTTCTTCTTTGGGAAGGAATTTTCTTTCACATCATAAATGAAAATAAAATAGATTTAGTGTTGTCCACCAGAGTGTAGCATAGCTGGCAGTGAAGAGGGAATTTTAGAGAAAATGTAAATAAAAGTGACATTTAGTGATGTTTTAAATACTAAGATAATAGTACACAGTCTGGTTGGTGGCCTTTCTCAGGTGCACCCATGACCGCAGTATTTCTGAAATCCTGGCAATAGCCCTGGCTCTTTGATTGTTTTCTTGTAATCAAATTACAAATTACATTTTGTTGTCTCAGTTTTCATTAAGAACCAACTTGGATCTGTGTGAGGAGCAGCTGTGTGTTATAAAACAACACCAAGCATGTAGGGCTCAAAGGAAGGCAGATTAACATATTGTATCCTTGTGTGAGAAGCAAGGTCACCCCGCTCAATACATCATATCATCCACCACTGCTCCGTGAAACACTCCTGCTCCTCTTCCAGATGGCATTAACAGACAAAACCATCAGAGAACTTTCATTATTAACTACCTGCTCTGCATGAAACAGCAAATTAGAGGCTACGCCCACATGCACCGAAATATTCCCTTTTTTCTGGACGCTCAAATATTCCTTTTATGAGCTGCAGGATATAAACACCATGTGCTGGTAGAAATAACCTGCTCTGCTCAGTAGTTAGGAGGAATCTGAAGAAAGATAACTGAGATATTCTCTCACTGTCCAGCACCTGATACATCGAAGTATATCTGTCTGTTTTGTATGAGGGATCATATTTTAAAAACTGAAGATGAGGCCACATATAAACATGAGAAGGTAGCAATAAAGAAAAATACGCTCCTTGGAAAATAATCCACACTGATCTGTTATGGTAGAAAAATGTAAATTGATTTTATGACTGTCATGTATTGACTGAACAGGGTCAAGACAGGGTCCCTTGAGAGGAAATCAATTAATTTCATGAAGGTAACATCATATCTGCTTCAAACGGCAACGAAATACAAGTAGACCTATGTTTGTCTGATAAGGTAAATGTTTTTATGCTCTGTTCAGTATATTGTCGCTGGAATCATACAGTTATTTTCTTGTGACATATTTGAGAAACTGGCTTTAACATCTGCATAAAAGTTGGATGCGAACATGAGGCATCATCCTCATTTTTGTCGGGGTACAGGTTCCTATAACTTACATAACTCAAAAAATGACAACACACCCGAAAAGACTGAGCTTGTTCATATCAATTAATACATGTCACTTTCCTTCAACCACCTCCTCCGTCAGTATATTCACAATGAACGCCTCAAGATGCTTCAAATAAAGGATTGTGTAAAATTGTCTAAGAGAATCCAAAACTATATTTCCGATGACGGAATCAGAGGTTATGTCCAAATATTTTAGTTAATTTCTGAAACAGATAATCTGGCACTACGTGGTAATTGGCCAGTGTGTTTAAGCTCCCTTTTTTTCATTCTTTACACAACCACTTCCACCACTTTTTGTTTGTACAAATCAAGTACAAAACAACGAAAGTCTCTTGGGGAGAGTCTAAAAGAGAGTCCTTGTATTGGTTTTTCAAACTAAAATAAATGCCACATGAGATTGTTAACTCCTCTTATTGGTTAGATTTGTCTGGGGAGAGAAAAAGTAAACAAAGGAAGAAGGTCCTGAAGAAGGTCCTATCTGCCCAATTATCAGGCAATATACTTCTTGTTAGTGCAGGTCAGACCTCATTTCATTCTCTGGGTACCTGCTAACTTTTTCTGTTGCTCATCTGCATCTCAAGCATACAAAGCAGACCTGCGGGAGATGTTTTGCCCAAATTTACAAAGTATGATTTGTAGTTGGGTAAGATCGAGGTTGGACCACCTTCCTACTGCAAACAAACAGCTCCAGAATATGTTTGTGACCAGACCGACACCACGTTCTCTAAAGGGTCTCGGTGCGGTTGTTCCGGTCTGTGCCTGAGTACAATTGCTCTGTTCAGATTTTCCCAAACAAACTGCACCAAAGGGAAAAGAGAACTACAATCCAATTCAGCCGGACTAAACAATGCAGGTTTGAAAGCACCCACAGGCAGTTTTGCCTTTAAATGTTGTTGAAAAACATGTTGTACAAACTAGTATGTTTGAAGAACACTGAGGCTTTGGGGCAGACTTTTTCTCCTGTAAGATCTAGAAAGCAGCAGCACAAATTGCTCCTGTACAGTCTGAACAATTGGTTGCAGTAAAACTGCACATTTTCGTGTGGCTTTTTATTGTGGGCAGCCTAAGGCAGACACCTGTGAGGTGGATAGATTATCTCGGGATGGGTAAAGTTCTCACTAACACAGATTTTGACAGATTTGTGAACAATATTTGAGAGAAATAGGCCTTTTGTGTACATAGAGAAAGTCTTAGATCTTTGAGTTCAGCTCATGATGAATGGGGGCAAAAACAAAAGCGTTTATAATTTTGTTCAGTGTACAGCTGTGAATGTTGACACTGTTCTCGCCAGAAAATGGCAGCATTTGTTGTCTGTTAAAATACTTTAAATGGTCCTGTCCTCCCAAGAAAAGCAATGGGACACAAAGTTCTTATGTTAACCCAAATCATGCTATAGCAGTGTCAGCTTTTTTGAGTCTAATCTTAACTAAATCACAATATGCATGAATTTTTCACAGTGATTTCTGAAGCATTTTGAGAGGCACAGACAAATTATGTTGTATGTTTTTTTTTAAAAACCCAAACCACAATCTGTCTTTGGAATTGTCCATCGTCTCAGTTTAAACTTCACCATAGGCCGTCAATTCTTATTTTGGAGCTGATGTTCTGGAGTCATTAACCATGTCCTTGGTTTCATTTACATTAAGGACATTTCACACCATTTCTTTCAGCCTGTCCTCACCAGAAAAACGGCTGTATGGGTAGATTATTATATAGCTTTTAAGGACCCATATTGACGTTTTTTATTAGGCTGCAACCTCTAGTGGAAGAAGAAGTCAGACGACGTAGAATAAAGAGTGACAAAGTCCATGTAAGTAGAGTGGTGGGGTGGATGGATGAGTCAAGTAAACTCATTACTTTGAGTTTGAGTCCTATGCAGAAGAAAGTCAAAATGTGACATGTTTTAAGTTACATTTTGTAGATGTCTTACGTAATGTAGATATTTGAACCCAAACAAAGATCTTTTATGATGTGATGATGTTATTATCATGTGACCATGTCCAGTACGCCTGTCTCTGGACTGGTACAGGAAACTCTAAATATGTGTCGTTTTGGGGGATGGACATTTATGTTGTTGCTTTTTCAAATGGACATATATTTTGTTTTGGAAATGGTCTTATATGTGGTTTTGGGGAACATGACAATCAACCTATTTAGTCATTTAGGTTTGAGGACGTGTTCTTTCTTTACAATCAGACGTCCTTACAGCCACAAAACTACCTGCTACTGAAGCAACATCTGTCTAATCTCAGATGGATAAGATGACTATTGCTGATAATTAGAAAATTTTGTGACTTTATATTTTATATTATATATATATTTTAATTGGTATACATTCTTATGTAGTAGGTTCAGGTAAACCCTTGAGGTGAGCCAGTAGATGAAAGAGGTAAATTTAAAAGATTTAAGTGAACATAATTTTCTCTGCAGGTAAATGTGGCTGAATAGTGATAAAGCAGATGACAATACACTTCTGAGAGCTCCTTAAAAACACAGAGTCTATAAAAGAGATGTGTATATATCTCTTTTTGTTTTTCCCATGGTTTTCCCTGGGCTTGAAGAACAGGTGGGGAGCGGCAGGGAGTGGCGGAGATGCCTAATGACGGTCATAACTCACCTCTCTCCGACGCTGGGGCCAGATCAATGAAGCTCCGACACTTCTCACCTGAGAGGGGAGGGGAGGGGGGTGGAAGGGAGAGGTAAAGATGAATGTAAAGAGGAAAAGAAGAGGGGAAAGGTAAAGAACGCAAAGTGAAATGCGCTGGGAATGAAGGAGAGATAGAATGAGAAAATGAGAAGGGAAGATAGCAGTGAAAGAAAGATGTAGATGTAGAGAGGAGGGGGTGATTAAGGAGAAGGATGAAAGGATGAAAATAAATGCACAAGGTGGAGAGAAAAGGATAAAATGAGTGTTAGTGTCAGTGCATCAAACCGATAATACAAGCTGTTAATGCGTCAGGCTGGCAAACACGACTCCTGAATGTCACTTGGCTGTTATTCTACACATCAACACTTGCAGATAATATTCTGCTGACGGGATGTCAGGAGCTTGTCAAACATTATGTGACAACACTATATTCATCAATGATGCCAGAAAGATATTAGACTTAACCACACTAACCGTCATTTGGTCGAACCACCACTTTGATCCAGACTGAAATATCTCAACGACTATTGCATGGATTACAATGAAATTTGGCTTGAACATTTATGTTCACCTCAGGATGAACTGAAATAACTGTAATGATCCACTGACCTTTTCTCTAGCACCATGATCAGGTCAACATTGACCAATACTATACGACTATGACCAAATACCTGCAAAACTAATGACAACCCTGTGCTTAGTAGTGCTAATTATCAAATGTGCAAATGTTGGCATGCCAACACATTAAACTAAAATGTTGAATATGCTAAACATCGTAACAGCATACCATGCATAGTGTGCTAACGTATAGCTCCACAGAGCGACTAGCTTGGTTTTATACTTTTTCTTTTCTTTTTTCCTTCAGGCTTTATTCTTTTGTATAATTCACTTGTTGGTGATCTTTCTTTCTTTGTTTCTCAGGCGTATTTTTCACTCCTGATTGTTGATATCATGAAATGTCCATTAAAAAAGAACTAATTTGTGTGATCCGTGCTACAAACAAGGCTGACTGCAGAAATACGTCATCAGATCAGTTGTCACCAAGCGGGAAGCTTCCGGTCAGCGATCTGATGCAAACGCGGAAGTTGCTGAAACTTGCATTCTATCGAATGGCCAGCAGGGGGCGACGCTTCTGGTTGCAAAAAGAAGTCCATTGGAAATGATGGTAAAATGACCCTACTTCTCACCTGAATAATTATCTCAGTAACACTTTCATAATGAGTTTATGGTCTCGATAGTTTGATGTCTTCTTCAATATAAATTTAGTAAATAATGGTCCCATTTCTTTTAAATAGACCATAAAGCAGAATACGTTTCAGGGCGGGATTATCTATGATTGACAAGTCGTTACCATGGTGACCTGTCAATCAGGCTAGAGGCGACTCGTACCCACGGCACTGTGTAAATTTAATCAGCGCCGCTGAAAAAGCTTATTAGGAGTTGGCTGTTCACTTTCTCTGGTGAGTACATTAAGTTTTAAGACAAAATTGTCAGCCCTGTTAAAATGACAGTTAACATGAATTACAGATAGGCAAGCTAGCTAGCTCCGCACACGGCCGTTAGCTCAACCGTCTCGTCCAAATATGGTCACGTCTGGTGCCACTGGTTGCAAAAACTCAACGTGGCGGCGCCCTATCGGCCAAACTCGAGGCTTCAGAAACAGCAGTTCATAAACCAACGGGTGACGTCACGATGACTACGTCCATTTCTTATATACAGTCTATGGTTGTTACATTATAAAAATCCTAAAGTGTCCGGAGTGACATAGTTACTTTACAGTAACTGTCACACATTTTAATGTCACCATAACTTGTAAATTATCAGTGTTTATATTTAGTGGGTTTATCAAACTTCATTATATTCACATGTATAAAATACTCCAATACCGTATTTAACAGTGATATCATTGTTCTCACGTAATATTAGTACAATATTCATGTAGGGAGTGTTTTGCTTAGTGCAGTATCATCTTGGCTTTCATTAGCTGTTTTCTGGCACTCTAAGGCAGCAGAGAGTTTATCAGAGCTCGGTGGGACCATGCAGGTCGCAGTTCAGCGGCCACAACACGAGCCATAACTCAGCCTCTGCAGTGTCACAGGCAGCAGGCAGGCCCATCCATAACCAGCCTGAACACCAACACCCTCACACTGAACTCCCAACAAGCCTCCCCCAAACAACAGATGAAGATACTCTTGTTTGTCTCCTGGATACTGAGGATAATTTAACTTTCAGAGGCTAAAATAGACTCGATCTAAAACTTGAGTCTATGGTGAAAACTGCTGCGAAATTCAACAGATATTGTCACTGCTGTTTACCCAACTGTGTCTGCTCTTTCCGATCAGATAGGAAGTGCACAAAATCAGCAGTACTGTGTATATATATATATATATATATATATATATATAATATATAGTGACCAGCTCTAGGAAGGACTCTCTAACAATTAAATCTTTCGTAAATCAGATTGCTTTCTCTTTGTGTTTGAGTTTAATAGAAATATGTTGCGGCTCACACATTTTTGTACAAAGCAGTAATGTGTCGTTCATATCGTATGAGAGGAGAAAGATTCCTGTGTGACTTGGATGTTGACGTGAACAGAAACAGATAATTATGCTAACTCCCATATGACATGAAGACGGCACAAGTGACGGTCCAATACCCTCTAGTAGACTTTTGTGGGATCGACCGCCCATGGGACTCGTTCTGTCCATACTACCCAGCATGCATTGTGTGGTTGCAAGAATCAGTTGTTGGATCTGCCTGTAGCCTAACTGTAGGTTCACAGCTGTGTCAAGATTCATCTTTGAACAGTGTTTTGGAGTCTGCAGAAGAGGGCAAATGTGCTTCATCTTAAATCTTCATTTAAGTGGCCACATGGTGTGAAGACAGAGTGATGGAGCACCTGGAAAATTATTATTGAGTTTCCTTCCCCTGGAGATGATTTGACCCTTTCACCTTCCTGTTCAGCTGTCCATCATCCCCTCCTCAATTTCTCATTATAAACAGAGGCGAGCTTCAGTGCCAGATTTACAGGTTGTTTGACGCAGTACTGGTCCAGCCTTTGCTGCCTGTCTGTTGCTTGTCCAACTGTTGCTTATGTCCTGCCAGTCTGCTGATTCTTCTGTTTGTTTGCCTGATTCCACCTGTCTGACAGCTGAAGACTGTAATCTAAGTAAACCACCTTTCACCATCTGATGTGTCAAAATGATCTAGTATTCGAGTCATCCTTCTTGTTTGCCAGTTTCCCAAACTTTACCTACACTAAAATTAAAATCTAATGTCCCCAGCTAAAAGTTGGTCTATGCCCTCCCTGTTATAAATGCAGCATGCTGTTTGACAAATACTGCAGAGAAACTCATCCGAGGTAGTTATAATTCATGTTTTCCAAGGTTAAAACTCAAGGGAAATGAGTAGGAGTCGGGGAAACAGACGAATGTGTACCTGACGACAGTGAGCTGCAGTGAAAGTGTGCCACAGCCAAAAGGTGAGCACATAGCGTCTGATTAGGACGTGAATCTAAAATGTAATTAAAGAGTGAGCGGGCTTGTCTGTGACCTGATGACAGCACTAACTAACAGCACAATCAGTATTCCTACACCTTCCCACTGCACATAGGAGACAACGGTCCTCTAAAATGTAAATTAACCAAAAAATCCCAGTTATCACGCTCCTAGTCTACCTAATGAAATAGATTCATTTTAAAGAGGCTTCAGGTGGTTTTCTTTTCTTGTATTTCTAGTTCACACTCCCAACTCTCACTTTCACACCTCTTATTCATTCCCCCTGCCCTGCAGCCAGCAGCTCTGCAGTCTGTTTAATCTGTGATCCGATGTCATTCTGGGCTAATTGCAGCTGTAATGAATATGAATGGTTTTGTGAAACAACGGCTTACGTATCATTACTTCTACGGTTATGACTCTGTCCGCTTCATTCAGCCGGATCAGACAGAACTCACTTGAATATAAGGAAAGGGGTCAGACTGCAGTCTCATTTGATGAACCTTGATTTAGGCCCTTTCACATCTTTAAGTCTGCACCAAGGTCCGAACCAAAGTTCATGTTTTGATTCATGTGGTTAGTTTTGGTTTGGTTTCACACTGCAATTATGCGAGCGCACTAAAAAAACTTTACCTGACATATTTGTACGTCGCTGGGGGCTGCGTCCACCTAAACTTGACATTGATTGGTTTGTAAACAGTTCTGCTTTGACAAGAATGAATGAATGAGGAATAAACAGATGCAAATAGTTGCTATACTTCAGTTTCCCCAAATGAACGTCTTCGTTGGGCGGTAACATTATATCGAGAGGTTTCGCACCTCTAATTTTCGTTCGGATCAAACTGAAAAGTAAGTCTGAACAAGGTAGGTGAGAAAGCCATGCAAAAAGGTATACTTCACTTTTTTGTGTCATTGAATTTACAGCTTTTAGAGCAGCAGTTCACCGACTTGTCATCACACATCTGATGCCCTTGGTGTTAGTTACTTATGTCCGTA